ACTGATTTGGCGCCAATTCTGGAAAGCACCAGCTCCGCGTTTTTTTTATTAACCCTTCCGCGCATGTTTTGAACCGGATGGCAAAATTTGACAACGCCGAAGTTACCTAGCAACTCTTCGCCCACATCGCCGACCTACAGGAGGAGATGCGAGCCGACTAGAAAGCTTGGTGAAACGAGTACGAGCGAGTAACTCGACTTGTCGACGCGTAGCACGAAACGACAACGGCGATGAGGCTGCAGTTCCTCGAGGCTCTGCAGTCGCGCCCCCCCGAGCCGTTCGATCCTAGCGATCGGAATTCTGACGCCCGTAGATAGATCGCCAGCATGGAGATCTACTTTGCAGCCATTGGATGGAGCTCGTAGGTTTGGGATGGTCAGCACGTGCGACTCGCGGCGACACTAATGCAAGGGCCGGCACTCGAGTGGATCGGCGGTACCACTGCATTCATCCACAGCGAAGCTACGTGGCACCAATTTCGTACCGACCTGCGGAAACGTTTCGAGCCGATAAATTCTGGTTTCCTTGTCCGGGAAAAAAAATCATCGCCGTCGACAGTTCGGGAGTGTAGCGCAGTACACGCAGCAGATGGAATAATTTTAGAGCCCCATTCCCGATCTGACCAAAGGGGAAAAAGTGCAATCGTATCTTGCCGGGCTGAAGACCGAAGTCAAACGACAGGTGGCAGCGACGAATTTTGCGAGTTACAGTGACCTCGTATTGGCAGCGGAGCAGTTTGACATGGTCAACGCCGGAGTACAACGGGTGCACAACGGCAGTACGCGAAAGGGTGACCGCTCGGCACACCCTACGTTCACCGACACGATGGAGATCGATCGATTCGACGGGCGGCCACGTCCGAAAAACGCCAACTTCATGTAAGATTTTTGCGGAGTGCCGAGTCATCGAATCTGTGACTGCAGTAAAATAAAAGCCGCGCGTGCACGGTATCGGGCGCGCAACAGTGGCAGAAATTTGACGACCAATCTGAGAAAAAAAAAAAAAAAAAAAAATCGCTTGTGATAGCGGATCTAGCTGGCGAGAAAGAAAAGATTTAAAAGCGGTCGTGGGATGTCGAAAAAATCAACTTCGACAAAGTTGATTCAAGATGAGCAAGAGGATTTGGTGGGGGAAAATCTCCACCCCACGACCAGTCTTCGCCAGGGAAAATCGCCAAGAAAAAATCTGACTCCGCAAAAGAGAACTCTGTCGAGATAGGGAAACTCCTGGAATACCCAAAAAAATATATGGATTCGTTATAAAGATGCTTTAATGTGAACTTATGATTCTCGAGGGGCTAGAGCCTTGGAGAAATTTTGGGAGGGACTCCGGAAGAAGCAGAAATTTGGGGAGATTATACCGGTACCGGAGAATTTGGGGAAAATATTAAGGGGTGTGGAAAGAAGCTGACCTTTCGACGGAGTCATTATCCTCTCCCATCACCAGCCCACAGTGACTACCCTCTCCCCAAGGAAGACATCGGTGGAGCTGGAGCAGCTCAAGAGGAAGCTGGAGGTCTACAACAAGCTGCAAAAGCCCCGAACTTCTCCTTCGGATGCATCCAGCTCAGCGAATTCGGCAACGACGAGACAAACAGTCATCAAGGAACCTCCAGGCCCTGGAGAAGAGCCTTTCACCAAGCAGCCTCAGCCAGCTGCCAGCTCAGGAGTAGATAGCAATTGAAAGGTGTGTACGGAATATTGGGATGTACCCTATTATTCTCATTGATGAAACTATCTTTGGGTACTTTGAGCAGTGCCTGCACCTCGTGCTTGAGGTCATTTGCAAAGGGCGACGCCTCCAAGCACGCGTGGACAGCGGAGCGTCACACACCGTATGCGACAAGGCAGCAATCGACCGACTTCGGGAAGAGTGCAAGCCTTCAGCATTCTCTGAAACGATGGTGGATGGAAGCAAGTTACCAGTCTACGGCAAAGCAGTGTTACACCTACAAATTGGACCACTACGCTGGAAACCTGCACTCCCCATCACCAACATGAAAGGGCTTGACTTGATCTTCGGGAGAGACTTCCTAAAAACATTCAACCCCGAGATCAACTGGGTCAACTGCACTATAAGCATTTACAACAACCAAAGGAGAGTCCAGCTACCAAACTGGAACGACACAGGAGAGATTCAAGTGGAGACACTTGCCAGATTCAAGAAGGACGTGAAACAAACCGACACCAGGTTCCTGGCGGTAGCAACAGATGCAGAAGGCGACAGAAAGAAAGCCTTGGAACCAAAAAAAAGATCAAGGAATTACACAAGGAGTTCGAATGCATTCTTCCCGACGACCTTCCGAACGAGCTACCGCCATACGGAACGCACCAACATGAGATCATGGAAGAACCATGTTCGAAGCTGACCTCCCAAGAACCATATCGGCTCAGCCCTACAAAGCTAAACGACATGACGAAACAGATCGAGTATCTCCTAAAAAAATGACTCATGCGACCATTTACCATACCATACGGTGCCCCCGTACTCTTCACACCGAAACCAAACGGAAGCTTGCACATGTGCATCGATTACTGAGCTCTCCACAAGCAGACCATCAAGAATAAATACCCGATAACACGAATCGATGACCTGTTTGATGAGCTTCGGGGAGCCACGCTATTTTCCAAATTGGATTTGCGGTCCGGATATTGACAGATAGGAATGGCGGACAACTCCATCCACGAAACTGCCTTCCGAACTCGGTACTAGTCATACGAGTCTGGTAATGCCGTTCGGAATCACCAATGCACCGACAACCTTCCAAGCCGAGATGAACCACATTCTATGCGTGGTGGTGTACCAAGATGGCATTCTCATCTACTGGCGCGACATGAAGTAGCACGTCGAACACCTACGACACATCTTCGATATTCTTTGACGAGAACTTTTCTACGCCAAAGTATCCAAGAGCGAATTCGCCCTAAGGAAGGTCCAGTTCCTATGTCACATGGTGTTCACGACGACCTTAAGAAGATCGAAATCGTACACACATGGAAGACGCCCGATAACGTAAAGGAGTCGCACCAGTTTCTAGGCTTTGCCAACTATTACAATAGGTTCGTGCCACAGGACGCTGCACCACTCACGAATTTGCTGTAGAAAAGCACACCCTACCAATGGGAAACAAAACATCAGGAAGCCGTGGAGCAGCTAAAACAGGCACTCACGTCCGCACCAGTACTCATCTTGCCAGATTCCGAATGCGATTAGGTTATCGAAGCTGACACCAGTGACCTGGCAGTGGGAGCAGTTTAAATACAAGACCAGGGGAGTAGACTGCAACCAATCACCTAGCTCAGCAAAAAAACTACACGGGGCAGAAATAAATTACCCAATACACAACAAAGAGGCCATTGCTATTGTCGTCGCCTTCAACACGTGGAGATGTTATATTGAAGGACGAGAAACAACCGTCTACACTGACCTCTGCAGCCTTAAATATTTGAAAACCCAGCCAAACCCCTCCAGATGGTAGGTCCGGTGGATTGACTTCCTCAAGACACACTTCCACTACGACATCGTGTACAAGCCAGGCCACAAGAACAACGCGGATGCTCTCATCCGGCCTGCACATGTTGCCGCTATCCAGGTCGAAGGGATAAATCCGCTACTCTAGGGACTCTTCACACACGGCTACACCATTGACCCTGAAATTCCCTTGGTAGAAAAGCGACACCTGCTCCAGTGGGAGAGTGACATCGCGTACCGGGCCTGGGTACCCAACTACCCACCTTTGCATCAGTTACTACTAATAAAATACTACGATGTCCTGTACGCCAGACACTTCGGTAGGAACAAGACGCTCACTAGTATTGCAAAGCACTAATACTGGCCCCACATGGGAGACGACGTACAGAAATTCGTCACTTCATGCGAAACATGTTAGCGGATGAAGAGCAGTAAACACAAGACAGCAGGACTGCTACAGCCTTTTCCTGTCCCAAAACAGCCATGGCAAGTGGTTAGCCTGGACTTCATAACCGGGTTACCAACTACCACAAGCGGTCATGATGCAATCCTTGTTGTCATCGACAAATTCTCCAAAATGGGACACTTCATCCCGACACACACAACAACATGCAGCGAGGAGATGACACAACTGTCCGTTCGCTATATCATCTGATAGCATGGCATTCCAACCACACGCATCTCTGACCGAGACCCTAAGTTCGCCAGCAAGTTCTGGAAGGAACTGATGTCCCTACTTCGGACCAAACTCGCCATGTCATTCGCATACCATCCACAGACAAATGGACAAACCGAACGCCTCAATCAAATTGTGGAGCAACTCCTCCGCACAGCGTGCAAGGACGACATCTCTGAATGGGACTTGCACCTCCCCGTCCTGGAGTTTGCCTACAACAACGCCACCCATGCCGCTACTGGAAAGACACCATTCTTTCTCTGTTATGGACGCAACCAACTTATACGACAAACACCCATAGCACCAGTGAGAGTTCAACCCGCAGATGATTTCATCACCACCAAGCATCAAATTTGGGATCGGACCCACAAGCGCCTCAGCAATATTCAGCAGCAACAGAACCATGGTTTCCAACAACCATGAGTTCGTATTTCGCCAGACCTTGACATTCTCGCTCACGTTTCGTCAGACGAAGAGAATTCGGACTCATGCAGGCGGGTTAGCTGGGTCGCGTGTTTCTTGACGAAAGTCGGCAAATCGTCGCCCGTTCGTTATGATCCCTGTTGCGAGTGCCACAAGCGGGTGGCGAACCACTCATCATTTGGACAGTCTTGTTCCATTAGGAGAGCGGAACGAATCAGCCGATTTCTCGTGAATTCGCAGATCGCTGAACTTCGCAGCTGCGCCGACAAGCCTGGGGAGTCGATGGTGATCATCCTCCACGCAATTGAGAAACATGCATGTGGTTGCTGTACTGTATTCTGGCGGTAATGGGCCAGCCACACTCCTTCCCTTCCATGCCGTACCGTGACCATGACGTCCTCAAGCCAGACACTTGCCAAACACTTGTAGTGAATGGCACGGGCCCCATGAATGATGCTGCTTGCACTTCGAGATTCGCGTGGGGAGGGACGAGTTACATTCACACAACTACCTCGGCTCGTTTCTCCGAAAACATATTCGTGTTTCTTATTCTGGTCGGCGCATACTTGCTCCTGGGCGCCTAGTATTCACCTGCCTATTATTTAGTAAAGTTCACGCAGTATCGCGAGCTTCGAGTCGCACATGGCGCGCATGGCTGGCAGGATTCAGCCGATGGCGCGGGCCCTCGTATTGGCGGGCCTGATCGTGGCCTTAGCGAGTTGCGCGCCGAAAGCGTCAGCGGCTGCAGCTTCGTGCATCGCGTCGACCCTCCCTGGCTACGATGTGGCAGTGCCGCTCGGCGATAGGTGAGCTCGGCGACAGGTGAGCTCGGCGACAGGTGAGCTCGGCGACAGGTGATCTCGCTAGAGGTGAGCTCTCTAGGATCTGGCGGTTAGCGATCTGGAGGTTAGCGATCTGGAGGTGAGCGATCTGGGTTGCAAGTATCACGTGGCGGCAGCTTTCAAAGCCGCGCCGACAGTGTGAGCCGCAGCTTGTCGTAGGAACGACGCCCAGAAGGGCTTGAGATTCCCGCGTCAACGACGACCTGAAATGTTTTGGATCGCCAAGATCGTCACCAGCTAGACGCATCGTCATCAGGTAGTCGCATCGTCATCAGCTAGACGCATCATCATCAGGTAGACGCATCGTCATCAGCTAGACGCATCGTCATCAGCTAGACGCATCGTCATCAGTTAGACGCATCGTCATCAGCTAGACGCGTCGTCATCAGCTAGACGTCGTCATCAGCTAGACGCGTCGTCATCAGCTAGACGCATCGTCGTTAGCCGTCACAAATAGCCTGCTCTGGAATCAGACTAATTTCGGCCCAGACTACGTTCGGCCTGGCAAAACGTTTGGATTTTGACTCATTTGATAGGACCTTAGGACCTTGGGACCTTGGGACCTTGGGACCTTGGGACCTTGGGACCTTGGGGCCTTGGGACCTTGGGACCTTGGGACCTTGGGACCTTGGGGCCTTGGGGCCTCGGGCATCGGTGTGGACGCGTAGCCGTACCAGAATCATTACGCCGCACCCTCTTCGGAAATGGTCCATCCCTTACGTGACATCCCTTCCACGTTCTGCCGCCCCTTCCCCACATTTCCACCCCAATTGCGTCCCCCCCCAGTCTGACTCTGCACTGGAAAACGCCCACCTCGACTGTCCTCGATCTCGCGCTCGAGACGGCAAACGCTGGCTGGGTGGCGGTGGGGTGGTCGGCGGACGGCAGGATGGCCGGCAGCGATGCCGTGGTCGGCAATGGTGGGTCTCCGGCCAGCGTGCAGGCGTATCAGCTGCTGTCGATTCTCCCTGGAGGCCAGACGCCAACGGACACCTTTAGCATCGGGGAAGCGTCAGTGGCTGCCGGGAATGGCGGATCCACTGTTATCACGTGAGTGGCGAGTGTGACGAGTGTGACGGGAGGGAGGAGTTTAGTGGGTCTGACGGATATGACAGTGTGCAAAGGACAGGGTCGCTAGGGGGTGCGATCAAACGAGTTACAGCACGTTGTGACACTCATACTGCAACACCCGTGCTGTAACACCCATGCTGTAACACCCATGCCGTAACACTCATGCGGTAACACCCATGCTGTAACACGCATGCTGTAACACCCATGCTGCTGTAACAGTCATTCTGTAACACTGCTGTAACACTCATCCTGTATCACTCATGCTGTAGCATCAAGCGGTGACATGACATCATGCGGAGGGTGAATGCTGTGCCCTCTTCTCCGGCGAATCTGTTTCCCTGCAGTGGTGCTGTGCCAGTGAAGTTGTCAGGCGCCGACTTTTGAGTCGACTAAAAAATCTTCTCTGGTGCATTCGTTTGCCTGCAGGTTCTCTCGCACGGAGGGCACTGGTGCCGTGCCAGTGCAGCTGTCAGGCGCCTCGGCAATCATCTATTCCGCATCACCGGACGGATCCACAACTCTCTCCTACCATGGGCCCATGAGGTACTCTAACCATCTCCATTTGTGAGGCGGCTCAGAAGTTGGCAGGCATGTCGTCATTCATCTATGCTGGCTCACTCACCAGCCAGAACCACCACTCTCTTCTATCACGGGCCCGTGAGGTGCTCGACCCAACGTACAGCTCTGATGTGTGTGTTTCTTCAATGATGAATCACCCTTGCCCTCGTCCTTCCCTCCTGCAGTGTATTTTATGTTGCGTTGCCATGCCGTACCATTAAGTGCAATGTCTGTGAACTGTTCATTGAGTTACTCAAGCTCCTGGTCTTCTTTGCGTGCAGAGGATCGGAGGAGGTTGATTTCTCCTGCAAGGTGGAAGGAGCGCCACCAACAGCAGCACCGCCAATAGCCGCACCGCCAACAGTAGCACCGCCAACAGCAGCACCGCCAACAGCAGCACCGCCAACAGCAGCACCACCAACAGCAGCACCGCCAACAGCAGCACCACCAACAGCAGCACCGCCAACAGCGGCACCGCCAACAGCAGCACCGCCCCCACCGTCCTCCCCACCCCCGCCAGGGCAGGGAACAGGTAGCCCCTCGCCACCACCGCCTAAGGCAGGGCGACTGGCTGTCAATCGCGTGCCTTGGCTGGTGCCTGTGGCTCTGCTTGTGGGGCTCATTCCATTTATTCTCAGTGTGGCTTGAGGGATGCTTGTACGCATTTTCCTCCAGCTGGAAGGACCCTACAGACTACGGGAAGGGTTGACGGACCATTATGATGAGAGGGAATGCTTAGAATCATTGGAATTCCAAGAATCAAGAAGCTGTAATTCATTTGTTGATCAATTGTGCTGTAAAAACAGAATCGAGGTGCTCATATCGCGCGACAGCATTTGACTGGGTAACCGGACTGAGCTCTCCAACCAAACCATTGCCGTAAAGGTAGGATAGCTAGGACGCCATGACTATGGCGGCGGGGTTTAGCTAGGAGGAAGGAGAGGAGAATGTCGAGAGAAAAGGTGCATCAACTAGGAGAGAAACAGGTACAAGAAGGGGAGTTATCCCCTCTACAGTAGGATGCAATAGCACAACTACCAAGCTTATAATTATATAAAATATAATTTGAACAACCATATCCCAGGCATGGCTAATATTAATAATTTTTTAGGAACAAAAAATTTACAGATTGTGATTCGATTTGAAGAGGAGTTTTGCTGTAAAGGAGACAAGCTCCTTCACATTCTCGTAGGTCCGCTCGACCTGCCACCTAGTCTCATTCTCATTTCTCTTCTCTGATTGCTTACCACCAGCACACTCTCAACCAGGGCCTCAGAAGTCAGGCCAAAAAGGCCTGAAAGCCTGTATATCAGGGTGTTTTCTAGGGCATACCCTGATTTTTCAGGTTTTGATTTTTATCAAACCTGAAATTTATGTGTTCCCATTTTCTAAGGCCTGAAAAATAGAATGTTCTTGTTTTACCGAGCCTGACGAATCAGTCTTACTCGAAATTCGCCCTGAATCTGAATCTTATCTGCCAAGGCGAGCTAGAGCACGTGTGAGGGGCATGGCTGGTCCTTGACCAGAATCACGCAAGTTTGAGGCGAGGTGGGGCAGGTGTGAGGGGCGTGATTGGTCCTTCAAAAAAAATGACGCAAGTTCCAGGCAAGCTAGAGCAGGTGTGAGGGGCGTAATTGGTCCTTAACCACAATCACGGAACTTCAAGGCGAGCTACAACAGGTGTGGGGGGCGTGATTGGTCCTTAGTTAAAAACAGGCAGGAATCTGACGAGAAGAATTGTACGCAGTGAAGTCCGATTCGACCTAAGAATCAGAAACTACAAAAATGTAGGCCTGATAAGTCAGACTAAAAAAAACAATTGGCCTGAAAAAACATGCCACGCCCAAAACCCGACCCTGAAAAACATGGGCTCTCACATGGGTGACCCTGAGCAATCAGCCTCCCTAAAACCAATCTGAGGGCCTGCTCTCAACCAGGGCCTCAGATTCGTTTAGAGGCACCCTGATAGCTCAGGGTCCCCCTATCAGAATTAGAGAAGAGAATGATAGGTAGAGTGAGAGTACACACAAATATAGCTAAGTGTTGTACCCTCTAAGAGGTGACCCTATACAGTCTATACAAATATGACAAATACACATGTTTGACACACCCCCTAGACTGCATAGGGGAATGTCCTAAACAAGCAGCTCAGGGCGGCACTACTAGTCCAACCTCTGAGACAAGGGTCTGAGAGACCAGTCAGAAGGGGTACAGACAAGGCAAGAACAAGAGCAGGGCGGCACTACTAGTCCAGCCACTGGGAGAGGACACAAGTCCAGTCTGAGTATACATATAAAGGACAGTACAAAGTCAAGGTCCTAGCAAGTGAGAGGCTACAGGAACTAGACCAAGCTGTACACAGTGCCGCTGATGATCTTTAGGCGCAAGCGCCTTCGTAAAGATATCAGCCGTGTTGGCACCTGAGGCCAAGTGTACTACGCGAGCCTGACGTCGCTGCTGTAGCTCACGCAGGAGGAAGTACCGCAGCTGAATGTGCTTCGCTCTGCCCTCGAGTCGAGGCTCCTGACACAGGAGGATCATGGCCCTGTTGTCAGCGAACAGGACCGGGGCAGAGCTAGGCCGCTCACCTAAGTCAGTGAGCAAGAAGGTCAGCCAGCGGAGCTCCTGTGCCGCCATGGCACCAGCGTAGATCTCAGCTTCACAGCTGGACTGCGCAACAGACGAGGAGCGGGTAGCTCTCCACGAGACGGCACCTGAGCCAAGGCTGAAGCAGTAGCCCTGGGTAGACCGGAGTGTCTCGGCGTCGTCTGCCCACGAAGCGTCTGTGTGTCCAGTAAGGACCACTGGCCTACGTCCTCCTAGCACTAACCCCATGCCCGATGTACTAGCAAGATAACGCAGAACCCTCTTAGCGGCAGACCAGTGCTGCGGTCGGTGTCTGCCTGTGGCCACAAAGCGAGCCAGGATGCTGAGAGGGTATACGAGATCTGGGCGAGTGCAAGTCATCAGGTACATGAGGCAACCCACCAGCTCTGCGTAGGGGCCGCTGGGCTCTACCAACTCCTCAGACACTGGAGCGGAGAGTCTGTGGTCTACAGGCAGAGGGGTGGGCTGTGCAGAGGAGAACTGAAGGCTGAACCTCTGAAGGACCTGGCGCACCAAGTGTGACTGAGTCAGGGTGATGGTGCGCGATGCTCTGTCCCTGGAGATCTGCAAGCCAAGGTAGCGGCGCAGTTCTCCAAGGTCAGTGCACGTGTGTCTCTTCAGCAGCTCTGCCTTCACGGAGGCCAGTGCGTCCCTGTCTGCTGTGGCAAAGACCAGGTCGTCGACGTAAACAAGGATGTAGAACGGAGTCTGGCCAGCACGAACGAAGAGTGAAGGGTCTGCGGAAGACGGAAAGAACTGCAGGTCAGCAAGCGTAGCACGGAGAGTGTCGTGCCACTCACGGGGAGCCTGGCGCAGGCCGTAGACGGGGCGCCGCAGGAGCCACTGGGTCCTAGGAGGGAAGGTGCCAGTAAAGCCCTGAGGGCGACGCAAGTAGACCTGCTCGTGTAGGCTGCCCTGAAGGAAGGCAGTGGAGAAGTCGAGGGAGTGAAGCTCGTAGTCACGCTGAGCAGCTAGGTGTAACAGAACCCGAAGAGTAGTCATCTTCGGGGTCGGAGCGAAGGTCTGGAAGAAGTCCACCCCCTCGCGCTGACTGAAGCCTCTAGCCACATAGCGCGCCTTGAACACAGGCGGCTCTCCAGGAGGGCGCTTCACCTTGAAGAGCCACCGGCCATCGACTACGTTCACCCCAGGTGGGGGAACTGCGTCGACGAAGATGCCGGTGGATCTCCAAGATGCCATCTCCTGCTCCATGGGAGCTATCCACTGCGAGGCCCAGGGTCCCGAGGTGGCCTCAGCGTAAGTGCGAGCGGTCGGGATGTCGAAAGCGTCTGGGTCACCCTCAGGGACTAGCAGCATGGAACAGAGATGGGGAGCAGCCTCGGAGAGGAAAGCAAGCTCGAACTGGCGGTCCTCCAGGACGTCACTGCCAAGGGCAGGAGCACCCCCGACAGACGGAGGACAGGCAGGGTTAGAGACCAGAGCTGTGGCGTAGTCAAGGCGGCGGGTAGAGGCGAAGTCAGCGACAGCAGCGACAAGAGCGTCAAGGCACGAGACCGGAACAGACGGGTCGGTAACGAGGGAGGCAAGGACCCGAGGAACAAGGGGACGAGCGGCACGAAGGTAGTCAGACAGCGGGGGGGGTGACGGCAGAAGGGGAGGACGAGACGCGTGGGAACGAAGCAACATATGGTGGGAGCGCAAGACAGGCGAGGCAGGACGAGCACGGGAGGGACGGTGAGACCAGACGTGCGACGGAGGAGTCGGGTCAGGGGACAGGGGAGGGGACATAGGAGGGGAACAAGGGGGGACGAGTCCGGCGGAGGGAAAACAGGGCCGTAGACAGGAAGCGGAGGAGACGGCAGGAGAGGAACAGACGCAGGGTCAGGGGACGGAAGGCCGAGCAGGCGAAGGGCTGATACCGGCGGGGACTGCTGCTGCGGCGGCACAACGGCGACACCTGGACCGCAAGCTGCTCCTTGGCTACCACCGGCACTCTCCACACCAGCACCCCCAGAGTCAGCGAACGGGGGCTGCGACGGCGGCGGCGGCGGCGGCTGCGGCGGCAGCGACAACGACGGCTGCAGCGGCGGCAGAGGCGGTGGAGGAGGGGACTGGGGAGGGGACGCCGGGGGAGGGGCGGCCGGCGAGGACTGTACAGGAGGGCCACCAGAGGCAGAAGACTCCTCAACCGGGTCCTCCAACGGAAGGGGGGTGACGTGGGACACACCAGAGGGGGCGGGACGGGGAGGAGGAGGAGGAGGGGCAGGGACTACCGGGGAAGGAGTGACCAGGAACAGGGGGGGGGTAACCGGGGGACCACGGTGGGGGAAGCGACGGTAGTAGGGGACGGACTCGTCAAATGTGACGTCACGAGAGTGAAAGAAGCGGTGAGACGGCGGGTGGTAAAAGTGCCAGTCGGACGCGTCAAGGGGAAAACCGAGGAAGACGCAGGGAAGGGTGCGGGCAGTGAGCTTGTCCGTGCCGGAGGCACGGACGTGAGCAAGGCAGCCCCAGACGTGGAACGCAGACGCGTCACCAGGAGACCCAGTCCAAAGACGGGTCGGCGAGACCTGCGGCTGCTGAGGGTGCGGCCACAAGTTAAGCTGGTGAGAAGCGTAGCGCACAGCGAACGGCCACAGAAAATGGGGTGCACCGGCATGGATCATGGAGGTGCGAGCCACCTCCATGACCAAACCGATGCGTCGCTCAACGACCCCATTCTGCTGTGGGGAGTCCGGTAGGGTGAACGTCTGGGTGATGCCCTCCGCACGACAAAAGCGACCAAGGACACCGGAGGCAAACTCGCCACCACGGTCTGAGTGAAGACGCAAGACAGGGAGACCGCGGTGGACACGCGCAGAGACAAGCCAGGGGATGAGAGCGCCAGGCACGTCGGCCTTGCGCTCCAGGGGAAAGACTGTGGTGTAACGAGTGAAGTCGTCGACAAGCACAAGGAAGTAGCGTTCTCGACGCGGCCCAGGGACGGGGGCGGGGCCCCAGACGTCCAGGTGCAGGGTCTGCAGCGGCGCAGCGGTAGGGGGAAACGAGGAGGAGTGAGGGGCACGGCGAAGCCGACCCTCGACACAAGGCGTGCAGGGTGGGGCTGGGGAGGAGGGAAACGCGGGGAGAGAACCTGGGAGACCAAGGACAAGACCGTGCTGGGACATGTGACGCAGACGCGGGAGCGCAGGGTGACCTAGGCGGTGGTGCCAAAGGAGGGTCGGGTGAGTGAGGGACCGACAGGAGCAGGCGGCAGTGCA